GAATATTTAAAAAAGAAGAACTGGAAGGAGATAAAGTGAGTTCAGATGGTACTTTTCAAAATAAAGCTACATATAAATTCAACAGTTTACATATTTATCATATTGAGATCGATAAAGTCAAGATGATTGTGATTGGGGGAGTGAATAAAGACTGTGGCCACCGGAGCGTCAGTGAAGACGGCGGACATGAGGGGAGCTGAGGACTTTGATGTTCTCTGATGTTTCGTCTGACTTTAATGTCGCTCCGTGAAAAAGCCTCGGCCTCAGGTGGAGCAGCCGTCATCAGGAGATCAGACAGCGACGGCGTCTTGTTACTGTCAGTCTGCATAAACCTGGGACCCCTCTCTGAAGTATATTGATCTGCTTTACATTTCCCCCAGACACGGAAAACCACTGAAGAAGGTTATTTCTATGTGTGTCCTGTTAGCTACTCACTTATTTTTATTTATTCATCAATACTTATATTATTTATGTAGAATTTTTTTGTTGGATTTGTTTTTCTCTTTTACATAAATAAAGATTTTTTTTTAAAATGTCATCCAGAGCTGCAACGACTAAAAAAATTAATCTGCAATTATTTTGATAATAAATCGATTGATTGATTCCAGATTCTAAATAATCAGCTTTCTTGGAATAATTCCTTGATTTTCTTTGTCTAACATTAAAATAAACTGAATGTCTTTTGGACGGTTGGTTCAGATAAAACAAGACGTGACAACGATACTTTGTTACAGAACTAATAATAATAAATAGATTAATCAAGAAAGTAACTGGCAGATTAGTTGATGATTACAGCTGCACAATTAATCGAATTATAATCAAAATCATAATGTGGTCAAGTGCAATATTAAAATCACAGGATAAAAAGGTAGAAAGAGTCACATCATCATCATCGTCATCATCTTTTTTCATTATTTACACAATTATTTCTCTCTCACACTTTCTCATGTGAACAGCTGAGGGCAACACTATAAACACTTCCTCTTGTGATGACACGTCGTGCGAACCCTCCTGACCTTTGTCTTAGTTAGTTGATGCTTCAGGTGCGTTTACAGGTGCGTAGCTCAGATCAAAGTTAAAGCTGCATTCGTACAGACAGAAGTGCATGAATCAGCTGTGATCACATGAGGCCTGTTAACAACAGGAAGCGATACCCGCTCTCTATGTGTGGCACCATGACGACACAAATATCTCCCAGAAGCCCGAAGGCGCAGCTCTCCGCTGTCACATCATCACATCTTCAGATCAAGGATCGTGTCTCTGGACCTGCGACCCGGAGCTCGAACACACGGGTCTGTTCAGGTGTAAATAAGCGATCGCAGCATCCTGCATCCTCCTGCCGCTCACAGGTGACGCGTCAGGTGAACATCCAGCGACACAACACACGCCGTCTGTTCTCTACTACATGAGGAAACTTGTGTTTTAAAAAGGCCTGGAGCTGTAGAATTACTTCTCTGTTCTACGTGAGAGGCAGGTTCCTGCTGAGTAATGAAAACACAGCAGGAATATCATGATGTAGTTTGTTTTTCGGAGTAAAAAGCTGAACTCCTGGTTCTTTTCTAACTGGAAACTCTGCAGACGGGCAGCGTGAGAACGGACGCAGGTGTTGACGGGGAGGGGGAATTTACAAAGGCAACGGATACAGACTCTGCCAATGAGACGGCAGCTGCTGCTGTCGACTGTCAGCTGTTCAAAATTGATGTTTTTGCTTTGTGAATTTTTGTCCCGTCAAATCAGAGCAAAGCCTGGTCCGTTGCTAAGGGGAGGACAGTGGGATGCAACACGAGCTCCAACACAACACAAGCCGCCACTTCCCTAAATTAAGTCTTCAAGTAAAAGCAAATAATAACTGATTAACAATGAGTGAGTCCACTGCAACAAAGTCACTGGGGAGTTTGTGAAGTTTTCACTGACAGCTGTTTGTTGATGCGTCAGAACTCAGCTGGTTCTACACCGAGGCGGCGGTGACGGTGCTGCAGCAACCTCCAGGTGAGTCAGACATATTCTCATTATTTATTTATTTATTTCCCTTTTTTTTACTGTCGCATTACACCCCGCTCTCCTGCTCCCTTTCACCCTCAAGGGTTTCATCTTTTGTTTCCTTTTTTTTACATCATTACGACCAAGTGTTCCTGTAATATTCTGTCCCTGAATGATCGGCCACCAATCACGGCCGGTCGATTTTCAAAATACGTGATCGGTTGATCAGAATCAAAGCTTCTAGTCACCGATCACCTTAGAACCGATATGTGTGGTTAATACTCTGGTGTCTGAGCGGCACTGTGTCCCGCCTCCCACCTTCACTGCGCCGGTACACGACAGGTGGTTAAAACAAAACATGTTGGTCATGCTGAACTTTTGTAAAGTGTGTGAGACTGACATAACGTACGCCATCTGTGACGCATGGCAAAAATTATCTGTATTGGCTGATCTCGCTCATATATCGATATCGGCGGCAAAAATCCCTAATATTCTGCGCAGCTTCCTGTCCTCGTTTGTCTGCAGCCTGTCGATCTGTTGTGTCGGAGGGTTTGGGTTCAGGCAGATTTTCTCCAGCACAGAATAAATAAAGTTTTCTACATATATATTGTGAATGACATGCAGCACTGTGACGTAATTACATCTGATGTTTATTTCAGTGGGGGAATGTTGTGGACGGTCTGAAGCGCGAAGGCAGTGAGCTAACAGGAAACGGGCGGGTCACAGAGGAGAACTAAGAAAGATTGACAGATTGATCCAATCCTATTTGATATCTTCTTTACACCATTCATTTCTCACGAGAAGCAGAAATAACACAAACCTACAGGTTAAGAATAAATTAAAAGATTCTCCCCCGTTTCCTACTTTTCCTGAAAACCTCTCGCCCCTAATAATTTTCTTACAGCCCCTAAGTGACAATAACACTGACAAGAGGAAGAGAACAAACGTCAAACAGCTTCCCGCCTCACTACGGCTGTGAACACACTCCAACATGTCTGCTCCTCTGCGCCCTGTAAACACGGCATGCGAAGTCATGACTGGGTCAGGGTGTCACAGGCGGCGTGCGTCCAGCGAGGCGTGACAGATTACCTGAGCGATGATGAGACGATTAGATTTAACTCATATAATCCAGCTTGAGTCTAAAAAAAAAACAAAAAAAAAACAAAACAAAAGACATAGAAACAAAACCAAGTCCAAACGTGAAGAAGCAGCCGAGTGTGTGGAAGAAAACCCACATTAATGAAATAATAATCTACATAACGACAGCTGCTGATGAGGAGGAAACATCTTCATATCCTGCAGCAGCAAAAAACAGGAATATGGGTCATTTAAAATTAGCATTAGCATCTCAAAGAACGAGCACTTTTCATCAGACTGATTCTGTTTACAATAAAATCATCAATAGTTCCTGTTTCGTTAGAGTCTGTAAAGACGACGTGTTGTTTTCCACACGCTACAGAGTCTGTGATGTTACAGAGGAAGAGACCGTGTTCCTGTTAATATCTTCTACTGCAAAACATGAACATGAAGTTTCTCCGTCCATTTAAACTAAATCCACTGAAGGCTGCAAATAACGATCGATGTCAAAAACAGCATCTTTAAATGAACAGTGAAAATTTAAGATATTCACTTTTGCAATAAACATACAACAGAGAAGAACCGATAATACTCAGAGAAGGATTAGTGTTTGTTTGACTCACAGGATTAAACTAGTATTAAAATAGTTGCCAATCAATTTTCTGTCGGTCAATGAATCGATTGATCGACTACTGGCATGACTGTCTTCATCTTCTGTGGCAGTGAACTGGAGGTTTTGGGTTTTATATTCACATCTAGAAGCTGTTCAGACAAACTGAGCTCTGGGAACGATTTTCCGACATTTTTATAGACCAAAGAATTAATAAAGGAAATAATCTGAAGACTAATTGACGATGAAAGTGATGGTCAGATGCCGATCTACTTGAGTTAAGATCATTCTGTCACACACACAGAGCTCAGGGCGAAGAGCGAGCGTAAATACTGATGCTACTGATACTACGTGTGTGTGTGTGTGTTGTCTGAAACTAGAAAAACTATGTTGAATGACATTTTTTTATAAAGAAGCTTCTCCCTCAGCTGAAGCACAGAGAACAGGAAACTTTATTTATACGTCATGTAGAGACAAGCTGAGAAACCTGGCACGAAAACCAGTCGGGATAAAATCACTTGACATGAAAGCAGACTGTATTATAGTTTTATCTCTATTTTTACTGCATGTTTCTTTGTATAAATAGTGAAAAAAATATTTTTTCCAACACTGAACTGCTTCATAATTAGATTTAATTAGTGATTCTCACTAAATGTTAAATCATTTTTATAAACGTCTGTGTCACTTTTCTTCTCTTTTGGTTCCTGGCAGCTTTTATACTTTGAATTAATTTGACAAAATCACACGTCAGACTGATAATGTTGCTGAGAAAAAAGGATAACATGCATGTGGGATAAAAGGTGCTAAAAAATAATGAACCAAAATGAAGCTATTTCTTTAATAAAAAGGTGAAAACATGACGTATTATTTTTCAACACTGTAGCTGATAGTCTAAACCAGTAAACCTTTAACTGGGTGAACTGGTTTCTCCCTCCTCTGCTGCTTCAGGTCTCTCCCAGTATCAGTGGTGGAAAGTACTTACTTCAGTGCAATGGTAATGTACTTCACTTTCTGCTTCTTTAGTAGTTTAGTTACTTATTCTGCAGATTAAGAGTTCAGTGCACAAAATCAGCTTTTTGTGTAATTTTAGTTTAGAGTCTTTAAAATAAGCTGTAAGATAATATAAACTTATTTTTAATGCCAATCAACTTGTTTTAGTATTTTTTTTAACTTTTTTTCTTGTTTATATGAAGAAAAAATACAAATATATGTGAAATAACTATTTTAAGCACATTTTGCAGGTAGTATTTTAATACTTTTACTTGTATTGAAGCACTTTGACTTTCCCCTCAGTGAAGGACCTGAATGCCCGGCACAGTGAAGCAGGACTCACCTGCTGTTTCTCCATGGGCTCCTTGCTGATGGCGGAGACCTTGGGAGCCGGTGCCCGCTCGCAGGTGCATCCCTCCAGCAGGTAAATACCGGAGGGCCTGGTGCTCTGGTCGTTCTCGAAGTAGAAGAGCACGTTCTGGTAGAGGGCGAAGTACTTCTCGGTCCAGCGGCTGTTCTCCGTGGTCTTCTTGCTCAGGAAGCCGCGCTTGGTGCCCTCTTTACGCGCAACCACCGACAGATACAGAGCGTGGCCCTCATTGTACCGCACGCTCTTCTGCATTTTACGTTCACCCCGGAGTTATGTGCGGGTTTTTTTTTTATTATTATTATTATTACTACTAGTATTATTATTATTTTGGTGCCAACTTCAAACGGTCCCCAGCGGCATCACATCACATCACATCTCCCGCGTCTGCTCCCACACTGCCGTTATATTTAGCGGAAGGATACCGAGGAGAAAGCGGTTAATATCTCCGTGTGCAGGGAAAGGTAATCCAGGCTTACCATGGTATAAAAAGTTGGAGTGTCCGCGGAGCAGCGCACATCACCCTCAGCAGCTCGCCGGATTGAGGGGCTTTCATGCGGGGCTCTCCTCCCGAGCGGAGCCGCAGAGAACAACCGCACCTCACCGCGTGCCCGAGCTCCAAACTTTGACGAGGAGTTCAGTTACCGCGCGCTCAAGAAAAAAAAAAAAAAAAAGAAAAAAAAAAAAGAAAACATAGAGGAGAAGGAGGAGGCTTCTCGTACCGTCAGCAACGCCAAACAAAAATAGACTCCGGGAACAGACGGTGAAAGCAGAACCACGACGGAGATCAGCGGTAATCGGCTTTGACACCAACTTAAAGAGACAGGTCGCTGCAGCCGCGCGCTGCTGTCTGCGAGGCGAGCGCACGAGCGTATAGAAACACCCCCCCCACACACACACCCCCCCAGAGCGCAGGTGCACAGGAGCTGCGTGAAGGGGGGCCAGAAGTTGAACCACGGTTTCACACCCGGCGGGTTCGTTATAATCTGCTATAAACTCATTTTAATGTTTCTGTTTTTCTGTCCAAACTGGAAACAAAGAAATCAACTAAAACAAAAACAATCCCACAAATAGTTTTTTAAATCATTTTTCAATTAACTGAAGTTTGATGAAGATAAATCAGATCAGTGTTTGCTTTTAAAACTGCACACTGTTCTTCAGGCATTCCGCAGGAAGTAGAAAGGAAGGAATAAAGATGGACGTCGCCTCTGTGACGTCACCCACAGGTTTCTGGAGAGCGGTTTTAAGCTCAGAGTGAGCTGCTTCGCCGTCGCCATCTTGGCAGTGTCTGACTCCACCTGCCACGCCCTCGATTTTAGATAACTTTAGTTCTTAATAAAATGTAAACAGGTGAGTTATATAAACAGGAAATTAGATTTAGAGACCAAAACTGTTTTTGTACCAGGTTTTAAACATGTTTATTTCTGCTGTAAAGTTGGACATTTTAATCAGCTGAGCTCTTTTAGCTTCTGGAGAGACATCGCCATCTACAGGTCGCCCGACAACTAGCGGAGCCTTCAGGCTTGTCGCAAAACATCATGGTTTTATTTTCAGCCCCTTAAGTTTGGGCTACGCCCGAGTGTTAACAATGTCTGGCTCCGCCCCCTGCACAACAGTAAGTGATGGGGGTTGAAATCCACAGTCCTTGTTCTGTGGGTTTGACCAAAGCTAATTAACATGAATCCTCGGCAGCAGTCGGGGTCAGGCAGATCAAGTGGGTGTCTCTCATAGAGTTACAGTCTTTTTCGTGCACCACTTCCTGTTTGTGTTCTGTCTGAAAACACTGTCTGCTGAAACACAACGAGGGAATTTTGTGCAAAGAAGGAAAATATTCACTTGATTTGTTTGGATTTTGTCCCCACCTGACCCAGACAGAGAAACACTGAGTCGCATTTCAACATCCAATTGGTCTCCTGGCTAATTTTAGAATCACTCAGTCTGCACACACACACACACACACACACACACACACACACACACTCTCATACAAGTACATGGACATAATGCAGCCCCTCACCTCAACCTGAAACTCAAGTCATAACCCTCAAACAGCCCTTTGTCAGAAAGTGAGGACTGTCTAAAACTCAAAGTGGTCCTCATGGAGCTAGCCATACGAGTACACGTACGTACACACACATGCACGCACACACACGCACGCACGCACGCACGCACGCACGCACGCACGCACGCACACACACACACACACTTGAGATGTGGACAAAAGCAGAAGTTTCTATTTCTGTAAATTAGTGATATGCTTCAGAAGATTGTGTTTGTTTTGAAACTCTCCTTCAGCCTGAAAGCACAAACAGATGTTGTAGTGTTTTAGTGGACAGTGTGTCTGTGTGTGTGTGTGTGTGTGTGTGTGTGTGTGTGTGTGTGTGTGTGTCTGTGTAAATGCATGGAGACAGATGTTTTGTGTGTGTGTGTTTTGGTGCTAAGCTGCCACAGACTCTGCCTTTCACTTCTGTACATATACTGTACACAGTGTGGTGGCTGATTGGAGGAAGTTGTGCAGTGGGGAGGGAGAGTCTTCCTGTGAGGTCCACCACCCATCCACCCATCCACCCATCCTCCCTACAGTCACGGGGTCAGGTCAAGGTCTGGCTGCGGCCCTGTTCAGAAACATGCGACACTTTAACAGCCTCTGAACATCCTGTAACAGATAACAGTCGTATCACAGTCGCTCTCACACTTCCACACAGACGAGCAGCATCAAAAGACACAATATAACACACAGGCCGTGCCAGTCTAATCTGTTAGGCAGCTTAGTGTCAGTTTACTGTGATGAAGTCTAACCCTGCTCTACTCTGCAGTGACCTGCTGAGATTTTTATTCTATGGTGTGATAATGTGACAAAGACAGGAGTGCTTCTTTACCGCTGCAGCAGATACGGTGCCGCCCACACCAGCCGGGCCGACCAGGGGATAACCATCCCACGCTGGTGCAGCTCTGTGCCCGCTGGGACGTTAGAACAGGACTGACTGGGATGGGACGTCAGCTCCTACCCCCACCATCATCCTGAACCTCTTCTGCACACACACACACACACACGTTCAGATGCACATGAAACACAGCGCGACAAACAGTCGAGATACAGTGTGTTTGACCCAGAAAAAAAAAAAGACGAGCTGATTTAATTTTCCCATTTACATTTTGAATAAGAAGTTGGTTGCAACTGAATATTACTGATTATTCATTCATTTTTTTTCGAGGATTCAGTTGCATGTTTAGAAAATAGTGAAACTGCCAATCACAGTTTGTCATTTCCTGGACTTAGCAATCTTGCCAAGAGCTTCAGTCATACGTCCTCTGAGCAGCTACTTGTTCAGGACACACACGACGCTACAGTGACTCGGTATCGGAAAGAGGCGAGACGGTTAGCAACTGAACTCACAACGTTTCTTCTAGTCTGGTAAGTAAACAGCTGTTGATGCTAACGTTAGCTATGTAGCAGTGGCAAAAACTTACAAATAGCTCCTTTAAAGTCAGCATGCTAACATGCTAAGTTTGCTAATGTCCCAAACCTGCAATCAATGTTTGTGTTTTAATCTTTCCCACCACGTAACTAAATGTAAACCACAGTTAATTTGTCATAAACAAACATTCTCTCCCAAACCATGTCAATATATTGTAGAAATTTAGAGCTTTAAAAACACTGACGCTAAATGTAAAAAGCATTGTTGCAATTCAGCATTTTGTAGGTAAAGGGGCTACTATAAAGTTTTTGATGAGCAAGCCCTCGATTGACCTCATCCTGTCACATCTGATCAGCTCCAAAGCTTTAAAAACCATATCTGACCCCTGCGTCCACGGGCAAACGGTGGCAATGCTGACAAATGAAAAAGTCTCATTGCAGCTTAATATGATGAGCGGAGCTGCACGAGGGGGGAGGGAGGGAAGGGGGGGGGGGGGGCAGCACAGACAGAAACAATCCCTCCGAGGTTAAAGGAGAGGGCAAGGACACGCACACGTTGCATCACAGCCGGGCATCAGACTCACGCTGCTCAGTTTCAACAGCCTGAAGGGGAGAACAGAATCCGTGCACTCACAAAGCAGCACGGTCACTCCACTGACCGTCAGAGAAATGTACCGCACACCTCAGCTGCCGCCCCTCAGAGTGGCTTTACTCCGTCATTTATTACAGTTTAAGCTCCAGTACTTCTACTACTGTTACTCTCTCATTTTAATTTGTCATTTAAAACATTATTATAATACATATTTATTATTATTATTATTATAATACGTGTTCCTGTTAGTGTCGGAGCCTCCGACTGAGACGCTCCGGTCGGTAAATGTGTGTTTTTAAAACTTATTCAGGTGATTCTTCTCAGCAGCTAGCATCAAGTTAGCACGACTGCCTTGCTAAAACCGACTTCAACCCCTTTCACCCTGAATCAGGAGGCAAAAAATACTCTATTCTGAATAATAATTTCTGTCTGATGTTTTGGTTTTTGTTTGTTTTTACAAATAAAGTTTCATTAAAACACATCCGCTCCTTCACGATATTAAAAAGTGTGTGTACCACAGCTCTAATTGAAGAGGAAGTTCATTAAAATATTAAAAATACAATTCAACAAGTTATTTTATTGCTGTGAAAGCTGTCAGAGGTTTATGCAAAGATTATTATCAAGATGACATTGACGGCGACGTATATGGCGATACGGGAGAAGAAATCATCCCATCTCATGGAGTCGTCCTCGCCTGCAGGCAGAGCAAAGTGCTCCTTCATGTGGTCTTGCAAACTCTGGACAATGGCGGCGTCCACAGCTGGATGCTGTGACAACACCACGGTCTCCAGTTTGCGCATGCCGCCGTACTTTCTCTTCAGGTCTCTGACCACGGCCCTGCAGACCTTCTTCACGTCTCTGAGGTCCGGGCGGAAACCCTCGCATACGGTCAGCCCCGGCATCGTCTGGTTCACCAGGTGCTCGGTGTAGTTGACACAGTCCGCCTCTGTCCAAATGTCCAGGATGTGACACTTGGTCAGAAGTCTCCTCGTCAGCCGGGCGACAAACTGCCTGAGGCGGGTGTCGCCGTCTGTCTCGGCTGCAGTTTGACATCCGGAGATGGACGGATCACCAGGCTCCGTGTTTTCCTCGGACTGTGTCATAATATCTGAAGTTGTCTTCAAACTCCTCATGTGATACCTGATGGCTCCTGTGTCATCGAAGAGACTGAATATTTAGTCCCTGGTGGACAGCTGATCACATCCGCAGTGTGATACATCATAAAGGGAAGGGAACGTCATCAAGATTCTCTCATTCTAAATTCTCCTCCTTCGTAGACTCCGGATTCCTTTTCAGTTCATCACCATGAGCAAAACCTTTCTGTGGTTAATATACAAATATAAGATAAAATAGCTTAAAGGAGGAGTGCAGGTAATGTTCACTTTAGTAAACTTGTGTGCAGTGTTTCCCCAGATTTCAGTTTAATTCCAAGCTGCATCCATATTTAAACTGCCACAGTGAATAACATTCATTTTTTATTTATCTATTTTTAATCAAAGAAAATAAAAAAAATAAAAATAAAGCCAAAAATAAATAAATACATGAATAAAAACTCAAAAGAAGGGGTTTTGAGGGGA